ACACTTGTCGCACTTTTTAATGAAGTTAAGTGCATCTTTCTGCATGGTAGGCCAATAATATCCTTGTCGGATGGCCTTGTTGGCAAGTGACCTACCCCCAACATGGTTTCCACAAACTCCTGGGTGGATCTCCTTCAAGATGTAGTCAGCTTCCTCACTAGAAAAACATCGTAAATACGGCATGGAAAAGCTTTTCTTGTAGAGCACGCCTTTTATAAGCGTATACCTAGCTACCCGCATCTGGACCTTTCGAGCTTCTGTTCAGTCTGTTGGTAACACCCCATCCTTGATATATCTGAATATACGATCTGCCCATTCCACACTCAGTACTGCTTGTTGCACTTCAATTTGTCTCTCCTGAGATATAAATGGTTCGTCCAAATATTCTAGTGATATAGTATTATTGATCTCAGGTTCTAATGCGGTAGCTAGCCGAGCTAAGGCGTTTGCATTCCCTTTCTCTTCTCTTGGTATTTAATGAATTGAGAATCTCTGGAAGTGATTCTTTAATTCCTCTACCTTCTGTAGGTAACTTTCATCTTCTCATCCCTTGCCTTATATTCCGCTCGAACCTATCCAGCGACCAACTGGAAGTCGGTGTACACCTTTAATTGCTCAACCCTTAGGGCACTTGCCATATTTAATCCTGCTATCAAGGCTTCGTACTCTGCCTTGTTGTTGGTTGCTTTGAAACCAAACCGAAGTGCGTACTGTATACTTTCTCCCTCTGAAGAGACAAGAACAAGCCTAGCTCTGCTAGCCTGAGCATTAGATGACCCATCCATGAACAATGTCTAGATTACTTCTGGGCCATCTGCTCGTTTGAACTTGGTTCTGTCAGAAGTTGGGGTTGCTTCTCCTTTTCTGGAGGGGTAAATTCAGCTAAGAAATCAGCAAACACTTGGGCCTTTATTGTTGTTTTTGGCTTGTACTGAATGTCAAACTCTTCTAACTCTACTGACCACTTCATCAATCGACCAGAGTTTTTTGGCTTGTGTAGGACCTGTCGGAGGGGTTGATATGTTAGCACCACTATCGTATGCGCTTAGAAATATAATCTCTGCTTCCTGACGGACAATTGAAGTAAATGCCAACTGTTCCATCCTTAGATAATTTTCCTCTGCACCCCTGAGTGCTCTGCTCATGAAGTACACTGGCTTTTGGACCCCTTCTTCTTCTCGTATCAGAGCTGAACTGACAACTGTTGTGGAGACCGCAAGGTATATGTATAGTTCTTCTCCTAGTATGGTTCGAGACAGTAGTGGGGGAGAACTAAGGTATTGCTTTAGTTTTTTGAATGCCTGCTCACATTTTGGGGTCCATTCAAAAGCCTTCTTTAGCACACGAAATAAAGGTAGGCATCTGGCAGTTGACCGAGAGATTAGCTTACTCAAGGCAGCAATCTTCTCTGTTAGTCATTGTAGATCATTGGTTGATCTTGGTGATCTCATGTCAATGACTGCTCGGATCTTTTCTGGATTGGCCTTAATTCCTCTTCTGCTGACCATATATCCTAAGAACTTTCCTAAGGAAACCCTAAAGGTACACTTACTAGGGTTAAGTTTCATCTTATGCCTCCTAAGCACCTCGAAGGTCTCCCGTAGTTCAGTCAAGTGGTTTTCAGTTTTTAAACTTTTCACCAACATGTCATTAACATATACCTCTATGTTTCTACCAATTTGATGCTTAAACATTGTATTCACCAGCCTCTGGTATGTGGCACCAGTGTTCTTGAGCCCAAAAGACATTACTTTATAACAGTACAAACCTCTATCAGTGATGAAGGCCATTTTTTTCTCTATCTGAGGTGTACATAGATATTTGGTTGTATCCAGAATATGCATCCATGAAACTTAGTAGTTCGTGTCCAGCCGTTCCCTCAACGAGCATATTGATTCTTAGGAGAGGAAAGCTGTCCTTCGGGAAAGCTTTGTTAAGTTCAGTGAAATCCACACATAGCATCCACTTTTCACTTGCCTTCTTCACTAGGACCACGTTTACCAGCCAGTCGGGGTAGCACACCTCTTGAATAAAATTGGCTTTTAAGAGCTTTTCCATTTTTTCTGATATAGCCTGATTCCTCTCTGGAGCAAAAGTCCTCCTCTTTTGTCTGGCAGGTTTAAAGTTAGGATTTACATTTAGGCAGTGCTCCATGATAGCTGGGTCTATACTTGGCATGTCTTCATGCGCCCATGCAAATACGTCTCGATTCTTCTTGAGAAATTAAGTAAGTTTATCTTTGACACCTGGGGGGAATAAAGACCATATACTCACTTTTTTCACGGGTACATCATCACCATGGCTGACCTCTTCTAACTTCTCTGTAGGTTCTGCTTTATGACAGTCTTGCCTATCTCTCACTTCCAGCCCTTCAATCATAAGTGCCTCTTGCGGTTTTGTTTTTCTAAGAGAGGCAATGTAACATTCTAGAGCCATTGTTTGGTCCCCTCTTAGTTCTCATATTCAGTTGGGAAACTCATCAGGAGATGGTAAATGGAACTGATTGTTTTTATGGCATTCAGGGTTGTCCTCCCTAGGATAATGTTGTATAATGATGGGCAATCCACCACTAGAAAGTCCACTATCAAAGTGACCTACTTTGGATTGGCTCCTGCAGTGACTAGAAGGGTAACTGCCCCCAGTGGATATACTTTGTCACTTGAAAATCCCACCAGTGGTGACTTAATGGGTCGGAGCTTCTCTCGGCCGATTTTTAATTTGTCGAACACCCTAAGAAATAGTATGTCAGCTGAGCTGCCATTGTCAATCAGTATTCGTCAAACAGTGAAATTAGCGATGACCATGGAAATTACCAGAGGGTCATTATGGGGTTGGTGAATTCCCTTGTCATCTTCTTCAGAAAAGGTTATGAACGATTCCTCAACTCACGGTAATTTTGTTGGAGGAATTGTCACTCCAACTTCACTCACCTTTGAAAAACTCCAAATTCTCCTGGCATGAGCCCTCTGAGCCGAACTCATCTCGCCACCACCAGCGAAGCCACCCGATATAACTCTGATCTCACCTATTGGTTGGTGTTGAGGAGGGGGATCATCTAGGCCCTCTCGGGCTCAGTTGGAGCCTCCTCTTCCATTCCTAGTCGTGAATCTGGGTAAATGACCCTTACGAACAAGGTTCTTGATCTGGTTTTTGAGATTGAAACAATCTTTTGTGTTATGTCCATGGTCTTGGTGGAACCTACAATATTTATCTCAAGACCTCTTTGTTGGATCAGCTTTTAACTTTAGTGGCCATTTCAATGATGTGTCATCTTGAATCTGTAGAAAGACCTGCTCTACAGATGTGTTTAGGGGGGTGTATTTATTATACCTGCCTAGGCTTTCTGGATGGCGAGACGATCTGTCAGCCTTACTACTTGAGAATTTCTTGTACTTCGATTCCTTTTCCTCCCTAGTGCTAGGTGCTGGCCTCTTTTTATCCGACCTTTTATCTTCACCATCTTTGTTTTTTCATGCATTCATAGCATCCTCAGTGTTCATATGCTTCCGCGCTCTAACCATCAACTCTGTCATGCTCGTAGGGGCTTCCTTTGACAAGGAGAACATGAACTTAGAGGTCTGTAGTCCTCCCATAAAGGCTGTGAGGGCAACCTTGTTGTCCACCTCTTCTACCTGTATCATTTCAATGTTAAAATGACTTATGTAATCACGAAGAGGCTCTCCTTTCTGCTACTTCACATTCAATAAATGCGTTGCTGGTTTCCTATGCCTCTGCCCAGCGATGAAGTGTCCTATGAATTGTTTGCTCAACTCTTCAAAGTTTTCGATAGAGTCTGGCTTTAATTTATTAAACCAAAGACGAGCCCAATCCTTTAGTATGGTAGGGAAAGCCCTGTATATAATCTCGTTCGGTACGGCTTGCAAACACATAAGAGCTTTGTAGGTCTCCAAATGGTTGAGAGGGTTCCGTGTCCCATCGAAGCTCTCAAGAGTTGGCATCTTGAATTTGCTAGGTAGAGGACAACTTATAACAGTTGGGCTAAAAGCTAGGTTGGTCTTCTGTATTATACTCACCGTCGCCTGGCCCTTCCCTTTCAATATTGCTTGCATGACGTCTTCAAACCTAACTCTCAAATCTTGCATCTGTACATCGAAATGAGTGACGTCCTCAGTCTTATCGCCAACACAAGCAGAGGTATCTCCACGGAGCCTGTTGGTATTCCGTTCAGGAGATCGATGGTGATGGCTCCTCTGTTAACCCCCTATTTGACTAAGCTCAGCGTGGTTGTCAATCCTACGGGAGTCATTGTACTTTACTGTTCCCCACCTCGTTGGGGGTGGCTAAACGTTGTAAAATCATCCAATTTTGCTGAACTAACTGGTTCATTCCCTCGTTCAAGCTTTGAACCTGTTGTTCCAATGCTGCGATGCGTTCCTAATCGTTTGGGAGGACGGGGTGTTGCCTTGTTGAATCCCCTTGATCAGAAGCCTACAACGCTTCGTCATCGTCAGCAGCCAGACCAGATTGCAATCGAAGCATGCTTTGTTTAGAGAACTAAAATCGTTCCCACAGACGGCGCCAATTGTTGATGATGGATTCTGCACAATCCGGATCTGATCTGACTTCCTGAACAAAGAGAAGAAAAGGTGATCCTATAGGCACCGGTGTGTAACCGATGGAGAAGGTTCCGACGAACAAGTCAGTGTACAAAGTAATCTCTCTGGAAAAATTAAGAAATTGAGTTAGGATCTATTGCATATCTTAAAACGTCGATTAGCCCCTTTCTTTATAGGGCTTAGGTCAGGATGTAACGTAGAGTTACGATCGTCTTAATCTTTATCGTAATCTATTGGCTTAATCCTTATCGTAATCCATAGAGCCTATTTCAATCTTATGAGCTAGCGCGTTTAATTTAACAAACTTCCCCTATCCACGGGTATTTAAATTATACATCCATCATAGGGTTTGTTATATTTTGAATTTAAGGACTTGTTTGGACAAGTCCCATTGTACTTCCTTTTTATTTTCCTTTTATGAAGCCTCTTTTGGGCTGTCTTTGTAAGGACTGGATCGCTCTCTGTGGCCCGTATGGATTCGGGCCTCTAATGCTGGACTTGGGTATGCCCCAATTACTTTTGTAAATTCTTTTCTGTATACATACTCAATTCTTAATTACCTTTAAAAAAAAAAAAATTGTAGGACAAAAAGAAGAAAGAAACTACTGCTGATTGGACATTAAAGAAAAAAGAAGGAAGAAGAATCATCTATTTTCATTCGGACCTGCAATGTCTTACCATGATAACCTAGATCGATAAAGATAGTAATTTTTTTTTCTTTTCCCAAGACAAAGATAGTAAGTTATTGTACCTTTAAATGGTCTCATATACCTCAAATGTTCATAATTTTTAGTATGTACTTGGTAGAAGGCACATGAGCCAACACTCTTGTTACCAGAACTCTCTTAATAGAATTATTCCTTCGTAATATACACACAATTAGATATGTGTATATATAGAAGTTACTCTTAATTTGGTTGCGAAGAGTATAAAGATAACTTTAAAAAAAAAAAAAAAAAAAGCTTATTTGACTTGTATAAATCTTTTCTTAATTTAGGAACACAAAACAATGTTGACTAGGGCTCTCTTGTGACTTGGGCACAAAAACGAAAATTGGACCACAAACGAATTTAATTTACTAGTCCACAATCAATTCCTTGTGATTTAACAAACAAGTATAAGTAGATCATGCAAAATTGGGCCTCCTGACCATACATAACATAACCACTACTATCGAGTTTTATTATTTTTTTATTTATGACAATACTCTATAACAAATTAATCGTAAAATATAATAATTCAGCATCGCTCACGCTTTCTGTTTCTACTTTAACATTGGAAACTGAACAAATCCAAAATGAAGAGAATTTTGCCACTATAATTAGCAGCCCAGTTAAGCAAACATTTCACATTCATGATCTACTCATTCCTCCTCCAAACACCGGCGGCAATTCCATTCCACGATTTTGTCTCTCCGCGTTTCCTTGCCATCCTAAACATCAAGAAAAGGCAATATACCCATCAACAATAATCCATGAAATTAAAAATATATCTAACTACAAATGTATATAGAGAGAGAGATTATATATATATATATATATATATATATATATATATATATATATACCAATGGTCATGTCGACTCCGCGGTTTTTGAGCTCGCGGTACTCTTGGCACAAGGCGCAAGACTCGCAGCAGCAGTGAACCAAGCAATCTCCACAGGGGTTTTCTTGCAGCATGTATTGGTGCCTCATTTTAGAACGGTAGCAGCATGAGAAACAGCACGCACAACCAGTCACAACTGCTATTAGCGTGTAAATCGCCCCACTCACGGCACAAGCTGCACACAAAACGTCACCCACCACATCAAGGTTAATATCAAACTTCTACATATAATATATATATATATAACATGCATATAAATGTATTACTCCCTTGGTTTCATAAAAAAATGTTATGTTTGGAGAGTCGTGCATATAAAAATTATCATGTTCACGATTTCTCAAACATAACCCTTTTTTTTTTTTTTTATGAGAAGGAGGAAGTATGGGCCAAGCTGCACACACCATTTGTTATTGTAGCTACTACTTACATGTTGAACCTCTGTCCACAATCTCTGCAACCCGTCCAAAAGTAACACATGGACACCAGCATGTCATGCAACCTGTAAAAGGACAAAAGTCAAATAGACTATATAAATATATATATATATTTATATATATATGAGCTTTAATCTCTTAAGACGGCACGTGTCATTCACGCCCCGCCTTGACTAGCAAGGTATTGAGAAGAAGAAGGCTTACAGTTCGGGACATCGTCGAAGCAGTCACAGAGACCGGTGGACCAAGGAACCTCGCTTTTGGGTTGATGGTGAATTGGTGCGTGTGTGTTGTTTGAATAGAAATGGTCAGTCGAGCTCACCGGAACACCGGTTGCCATGGGTTGATTAACACCGACGTAAAGTGGTGCTGACGGTGGCGGAGAAGAAGAGAATTTCTGAAAGTCATTTGGGTTGGAGGATTTCATGATGATTCTGCTGGGCAAAGAGGAGGAATAGAAAGAAAGAGAGAGAAACTGTCTGGGGGATAAATTAAGATAGAGATACTTTTGGGATACATGTATAGAGTTTGTGTCTTTATAATATATATAGGAAGTGTCAATGTTGTCAAGTCAAAGGAATTATATGTATAAAAATATTGTTAAAAAGAAAAATATAACGTAAACAAGTTGATATCTAGGAACAACACGGAACACCGGTATGGAAACAATGATACAATATATATATATTTTGATGTAATCTAGGTAGTGTCTTTATATATATATGTATTACGTTATATTTTTCTTTTTAACAATATTTTTATACATATAATATATTTATATATATATATATATATATATATCTATGTAACAGATTTTACTTATTTTATGCATATAATCATTGCTGAGATCATTAATTTGAAGCTGAGAGTTAGTTGTTCGTTATTTTTGTTTTATTAAATTTTATATTATTTTTAATTAAATTATAATATATGTCGAATTGCATTAAGTTTCACTCTTTTTATAAAAAAATTATAAAATCATCTCATTGTGTTTTGAAAAACATGTCCACGGACCCAACCATGTATAATAAAAAAATAAAATAATCAAATTGGTTTATTGGAATGAGGAATTTATAATAGTTCAAGTTTTAGGAATGAAAAATATGACTTCTATTAAATAACGTACCTTTATTAAATTGATGACTTGGTGAAGGGTGGTAGCAGTCCATTCTATTTATTCAATTTGTATTGAAATATATTAAAAAAACAAACAAAAAAACAGACAATGCTATATATGCTAAGGACTTTAATCGAAGTTCTTATATCTAACGTTTTATCTAAATGTAATTGTTTCTGCAGAAGACTTCTTAAAGTTTAAAACAAAATTTTTAAGTCCGTCAATTAAAAAAAAAATATATGTATAATAATTACTGTGCATATATTAGGAAAAATATTAGGAAGGAGTCGATGTTGATTGTTGACAAGTCAAGCGGCCTCATGGTCCATCACAACATTTACAGGAAACTTTCCTCACCGCGTGGTGGCAGCCAAAGCCTCAGCAGGGTGGGACTTTGTCGTTGTTGCGTGTCAGTGTCTAATTTTTACTAGTATATTGTTATTTGACTATGAGTTAGCGAGTATTAAAGTAACAAATTGTTTACTAAGAACTTTTTGACCCAAATAAATGATGAAGGTTCTTTAGTCTTCAAATGAGAATGGTGCGTGTATCTTAATCTTGTCAAAAAATATTAAAAAAAAAAAAAAAAAAAACTATTTCGGACTCCAAAGTTTTGAAAGAGAGAGAGAGATAGATTTTGAACAACAATAATACATAGTAAAGGTATTTTTAAAATTTTAATAAAATTATAAATAATTTGGAAAAAAAAAAAAAAAATAGTAAGGACGGTTTTTTTCCACTAAACTCTTAATACGTCAGTCACAAGTTTTGGTAATAAAAGCAAGTATAATTAGGAACGGACCTATGTATGCATTAGTGGGGTAATTGCCTCAACTGATTATTATTAAAAAAAAATTAGTATTATACTTTTTTTAATTTTCTGTTTTGTATTATATACCTATAAAATTTTACTATTGTCCCTCTCACTCACATAACTTCTCCCATAACGATCAACTTCTCCCATAATGACATAAATCATTTATTAAATGAGTCATTTTCCTTTGCTGAAATCCAATACATAAATAAAAAATGCAATGTTTTGGTAAATATATATATATATTTTTGGATCGAATTATTACATGTCCCAATTGATTCAACAACTATTGGATCATTAGATTTATAGTGTTATTAGTCTAGGGTTTATTTTTTTAACCATAGAGATTCTTTCGGGAGCAATATGTGCTAATGAGGCATAGGGATCATATTGGAATTCGGGACGTACCCATAGGAAACTTGGGCATTTATTACTTGGACTATATTTGCGATTTACTTACATACTCAAAAAAATAAAAATTTACAGGGTGCAAATTCTGTAATTTTGGATTCTATAGGCTCTCTTATAATTTGGATATGCTATTTTGGAGTCAATCAATAGGAATAGGGCTGCATAGTTATGGTTCATTTACATTATCGTCTAGTACGTTGAATTCAAGAAGAGCCGTGACGAATACAAATAGAGTACAGTGTATATAAAAAACTTTGTGTAAGCCGGCGAGAATCATTTGAATCAAGTAGTGTAGTGATTCACATGGTTCTCACAAACACCAAATATATATGGTTAAAATTAAAGGCCATTTTTCATCATTTCTTCACATGTACCTGCAGTAGCATTCAAGTAATGCTCTTTGATTTCACTTGTTTCAGCATGTGCTTTATAAATTGCTTATGCATAAAATAAGAAATGGTCTCTCCAACGCATAAATGGTTGGGAGGTCACGTTCTCATCATCTTTGGTAAAATCAAGTTCACCGTGTAGACATTCATAAATTGCTCTATCGTAGTTTTTAGCGGATAACCCCAACAGGAGACGACCATACTTCTTCAATCTAACTCTCTCAACTTAATTAGATGCCATGAGGCGGGCCTTGGAAAGTTTTAGCATAAGCAGTAGGAATTCTTAGATGTTCGAGACGTAGAACACGCAGGGCTTTGAACCCTAATACATTACCCACAATGGAAGTAAACATATTAGTAACAAAACTTAACCCAAATACATTACCCACAATGGAAGTAAACATATTAGTAACAAAACTTTCTTAAAAAAGGTCTAAGGGGTAAGCTCCATAAGCAATATATTGATTTTCTTCTCCAACAACGGGCCCGATATGGTAGCATCGCCCTTTGTAACAACCAAGGCTAGTAAGTCCATCGGTCCACATAGTTGTCCATGTACCGGTAGAAGATTCGACAACTACCACGGCCCCCACTTCTTTAAGTGGAATTCCAGGTTGAGGAGTGTAATACCCCTAATTTTAAAAGGGACAGTCCTGGAATTTAATAAATTGTTTAAATAGTATTTTTATTTAATTAATTGTTTAAATTGTATTTTATGTAATCAATTGGTTAAATTGCATTTGTTTATTTCTTTGGTGTGGTTTAATTGTTTTAAATTGTTTTAGGGCATTTAATTATTTATTTGCTTTAATTTAATTATTTTATTTTATTTATCTGAATTTAGGGTTTTATGTTTTTAGTTTAGCCGACACTGTTTTAAACCTAGAATATTCAATGGGCCAAGTTATTTATGGATTATGGTTAATGTTTAAGTCTATAAATATAATCGCATGTGGGTTTAGGGTTTTAGAAAATTCAATAAAACCTATTTACGTAACAGAGTTCTACAAAGAATAGTGAGATACAGAGAGAGAAAAGAGAGGAGGTTTAGACCAAGGTTGGACCAAGAAGGAGGAAGGAGAGGTGTTTTTGGGGTTGAACCAAGGCATTGGAGGAGCAGACTTGCAGTATAGGACACGAACATAGCTTACAGAGACGGTGAATTGAAATTTCAAATCTGAAATTCAAAGGCAAGTTCTGTTCTTCTCTCTCCCGTTAATTCGTGTTCTGTGCATGACTAGTTGGACTCCAGGGATTTAATAAATGCTAAAACGGTTGTAAATAAACATAATAACATGTTTTGTGCATATAGGAATTTATGTTTAATCTCGTGAATTAATTGTTTTGCATGATCTTACTATTCTGTTTTTGTTTCCTTCTATGGGTTACGATTAAGCTTTGATGGTTGAGATTAGGGATGCGACTTGATGCCTTGTAACTAATCTGGGACTGAGTTTGAACTCTAGAACAAATTCTTAGAACATGATTTAGTTGCACTAAATTAAACTGAAATAAATTTCTGTTGGAACTTGCTTAAAATTGGACAACAGAGGTTTTGTAATCGTAGCTTTAAAGCTTGTGTTCCATGCATGTTTTAGTTGAATATCAGTGGTTTAATATGTGCCTAGGACTGAGCTTGAACTTAGAACAAAGTTTTAGAAACACCTCAGAGGCTCTGTAATCACCGGAGCTAGAGAAGATGAAGCTAGAACGGGCAAAAGGCTACTGAAGGGGATTGAGCAGGCTCTAAAAAGCCTTAGAGCCGGCTCAAAGGCAAAGGAGCCGGCTCTATCTTTGTTTGGAGCCGGCTCAATGCTAATGGAGTTGGCTCCAAGTGGAAAATTGAGCAGGCTCAATGTTTAATTTGAGCCTGTTCTCTTTTATTGCGCACATATTTGGTTTTAAGGGGTTATTTGGCTGTGCAGTGTTTTCTGAAGCCGTTTAAAAGCTACTGTGAGATGTAATTAAATGTTAGGGACTTAAATAAATGTTTAAAACATTTAATACCATAATGGTTTAAGGGTAGGAGCAATGAACAGATCAAATAATGGCTATACGTTGCACTGTTTTTGCTAGGTTTATATAACTGAAACTTGGCAAAGTTTTTATATATAATTCAATTATATATAACCCTATATTGTTACTGTGTTATAAGTATGGTAAATTAATTATATTTATCTATACTTAGTTGGATTTAAATTGACATTTAACTTGTTTAATATGTATCAATTTATTGGCTGTTTTGGAGGATTCAAATGCTATGTCTTATTCTAACTGTTTAAACGATTGGAGCATGATATTTAGGTTCTGTAGTGAATACCTAATATTGATATATGTATGAATTTATACCAATGCATATACTGGAGGATGGTTGTTGATTATATAGTGTTGTTTTAATAACTATGCTATATGGAGAATTTGTATGTACCGGTATGGGACGGTGACATAATAGGTATGGATTAGTCAAACACTAAATCCTACCTAATTTGGATTAAGGTATGGATTAACCATATAAGTTAAGTCCATCACCTACTTGTGTCATATTAATCAAATAATTGAATGACTTAATATGGTTTCAGGATGGATTTGCTTTACATTTATCAAACCACTTTTCAAATGGTTGATATTTTGTAATAGGAGGACACGGACTTTAAATATTTATTATATGTGCCATGGTATGAGCTTGAGTCTCAGGACCATGGTTAGGGTGCGTATATTGCCTAGGATGGATAGTTGGACAGAGGTGTTGTTCCCTGGTAGGTCTAGATACACATGACCACAGTATGTGCGATTTGCATGGTATCTCTATTCAGGCTGAGACAAACCTTTTTGGACTAGTGAGCGTCCTATAGTGTGTACTTATACATATATGGACTACTCTAGATATTGTTGAGTCTTTCTAGTATGTATCTGCGTATCGGATTCCTGTTTGGATTGTAGTAGATCGGGACTTGCATGTGGGCCTGACCCACCCTTATATTTTTTAGGTACTCGTCAGTTCCAGGGTTAGAGTTTGATCGTGCAGAGCAGATACAGACTTCTATTCTACCGACAACGTGGGACTTCTTTCTAGATATTAGATTTGGATTTTATCTTCAGTTTTCTTCCATGCAGTTTAGGATTTTATTAGGGGTCCACTAGAGATGGATTCCCGAGTTGTTAAACTTATGGAGTTTGGATTGTCAAGGTTTAAATATTTATATTTGAGGATTTATTTTAGTTTCTTTCAGCTTAAATTTTATCTCTTTAATCACTTTTGTATTCCGTGTTCGTTTTAAAATATTAATTGTTTGATATCCCTCGGATTTGGGCCTGGGCCTGATCAACCCGTGTCTCGGATCCGAGGGGTATCACAAGGAGTTACTCGGAATGCTGCCAAGATATCAATATCTTTGGTTTCATAGTTAGGAGTATAATAAGTCAATTTGTACTCTTTAACACCAGCTTGGAATCCAACACTTGCTTTAGTCTCTGTTTGTGGTGACATAAATCCCTCCCCATAACTCATGAATTAAGAATTCTCATAACAACAAGATCTACTCGATATAAATTAGGCGTTAATGAAACCCTTCGCAGAAATTTTTCACAAAATTAGGCTGCGTTTAGTAACGAGAATCGTTTCTTGTTTTCTGTTATCCACCTTTAAAAAGGCAAAACGAAAACAAAAATCGCGTTCAATAAAATGTTTTTGTTTTTCTATAATAGAATACGTTTTCAATTTTTGTGAAGAAAAGAGAAAATATCAAAATGATATTTCTTATGTTTTCGGCACTGTAGCGCAGAAACGTTTTAAATATTGTTACTGCACAGGTATTATTCATTTCAAATAAAATTCATATTATTTGTGTTATATACTAAGTTGCATATTAAATTTTAATAAAAATATATATTTTAAATATAGAATAAATTAAATATTGTATATTATTTTTTGTTTGATACAAATATATTTTAATATATAATATATTAAATAATAATGTAAATTATTTTTTATGACAAAATAATTTTTGACATAGAATATAATGTTATTAAATTATTAAGCAATAGATATTTTATATTATTATATATCATATCTATATTATATTATATGTAAATATCAAATTATAATTCATTTACTATATTATAACACAATATATATTTTATTACATATAAGATATATTATTTAATATTTTCTATTCATAATAAATTATCATATGCTAAATATATTATATATCACATAATAAATGTTTACATCATGTATATACATGTATTTATTTACATAATTGGTGGGAATGTTTGTCTTTGTATATCTAATTTTGTACTTATGTTGTATTGGGTATTTTTAAGATTTATAATTTTAAATTAGATTTTCTAGATTTATGGTTTTTTGATATTAATGGAAACAAGTGTCGTGCTTGAGTGGTTGGGTTACTCTCTATGTCCGAGAGTTCGTGTTTAAGTCATCTACCCTCCCCTTTAATCAATAATTCCTAAAATTCTTGCTATAAAAAAATTAAAGAACATTATGTACATTTTGTAACAAATATGTTGTATTACTAAACACAATTATTCTATTTTTTACTCAAGAAAGCAAAATCATGTTTCTACTTTCTTAAGACTGTAAAAACGGAAAACGAAAACGTTACTAATTGGTTACTAAACGCACCCTTATCTATAAATACTAATATTATCAACAAATTAGAATGCTTCATTATTAGACCATGGTATTTGATTCGTCAAATACATCATTATTATACTCTTTCGTATATATGGCGCAAACCAATTATTCTTCTTCTACCCTTTTTTTTAATTTAAAAATCATAATACCTAAGCAATAAGAAATAACCTAACTAATAAGAAATTCACTCTTGACAATGGTACATGTTGTATATGTAAATCCTAAATGTGAAAATATGCAGAAGTCGTATATAAAAAGGTATAAAAAAGAAAAGAATAGGCTCGGCGTATATCGAGATTTGCTGAAATAAGAAAGAAGAAGGGCCGATGAGATAGTAATAATGAATCATAAATAGAGTTCCAATTCCGTAGATAATCTTAATGGGATTGTCTATAATCATAGACAAATGAAAGATTTTATCAAGATTCTTATTCATCCACTTAGTAGTTTGAAAATGGGTTGATTGTGCTTGAAAATGAATTCATTGGATAAGTAAACAATTGAATTAGATTCAGTTGGATGGTATCAACGAAATCGAGTGCTAACTCCCTTTTCTTATTGAATTAACCGATCAACTCGCTATCGAATATTGATTTTGAATTCGATAATTTTCGAAAAAAAAATTGACATATTTTTATTTATTATTATTAGAATAAATCCTACTACTTCTCGTCCTGGAATTTCCACGCTTGAAAACAAAAAAACTTGGGGCCTATCGCTTAAATTATTGGTCCGGTACTGGATGTAGCTTTTCCCCTGGATAAGATGCCTAATATTTATAACGGTTTGGTAGTTAAAGGTCAAGATACTGACGGTCAACCAATTAATGTGACTTGTGAGGTACAACAATTATTAAGAAGCAATCGAGTTAGAGCTATAGCTATGAGTGCTACGAATGGTCTAACGAGAGGAGTGAAAATAGTTGATATGAGAGCTCCTCTAAGTGTTCCGGTTGGTGGGGTTGGTGGGGCGACTCTCAGACAAATTTTCAATATGCATGGAGAGCCGATTGTTTAGTCTTAGATTTTTTATTTTAAATCTTGTATTTCTAGATAAGTTCGTATCTGTCCAAAATATATGCATTTATGATCTTTGTATTCAGCTCAATCCTTTAAGTAAAAGATTGGGCTAGTAAATGGAGTCAGCTGCTGCTTGTGAGGTATGGAAGGAGATTAAATTTGAATTTGAAGCAAAGGATACTTTGTAAACCAATAATTATTGCCCCACTAAAATTACTAAAAAAAATTTCACTATTAAGTATTACCGTTTTCGCATAATTTTTTAGGTTCGATCCTTAATATGATTCATACTATTACGTAACATAACTCGTTTGACGGGAATAGTACAATTTAAAAGGCCGTTTAGAGTCTTTAGACTCCATTAAGTTTCTAACATTGGGCAATCCCTTAAAGAATAGAATGATTACACTTAAACTCCAGCCTCATACAATTATTCAATTTATGATCTTGTTTTGTTTCCTAATATTTTTATTAGTTAGACTATGATTGTTCACTTTTTGGGCTTTTTGGCTTAACTGTTATGGGCTGGATTGTTGCCTTCGTTTCGTTCATATTGTCTTTAATGGCCAGGTCCTTTTAAGTTTCATTGAATACACTTGTGACAAAAATATGAGTCGACTTTAGAGTCCAATTCTTTTTCACACACTTTAGAGTTTGGGCCTTATTTGACTCTTGACAACTCATAATTCATAAACTATTTATTATTTATTAATAACATATTGCAATACATTTCTTTCAACATTGTGAATTTTTTGGATTCTTCATCAAGCTACTATAGAATGGATTCACGTAGGCATACAAGTAATGTTGGACAAACGCACATACTAAATTTCTTTCAATTTCTTTAATTAAATTTTCTTCACTTCCAAATTTAAAGTGTCGATTCGATACTCACAAACAAAACATTTATAAACTTATTCTTTCCACGTCTGTGTACCACATATGGAAAAAGATGAATTTCAGACCATTCAGAAATTGTCTCACTGTCAAAAGAAGAATTTCCACATATGACATGCTCCCCTGGAAAGGGAGTTCTCTTCTCCATGGATTCGACCTCCTCCGATGCCTCCGGACAGGTTTGTAACAATCCAAAACCATGATTGAATCAATTACAAACTTTGGTAGGTGGTGGATACATGTACGATAGAGTTCCAAAAACATTGTTAAAATTTAGATGTCATTCCTATTCACATAAATCAGCCGAATACATCTAAAAATCCGACCGCTTATCATAATTACAAAAATAAAAAATAATGGTACCCACTAAGTTCAATAAGAAAACATAAAGCGCCACAAAAAGAGTGGAACATTTTATTAACCGAAGAAGACACTTTTACGATTCAATAAGGAAATAACATGAAAACAAACACATCCAGATGACCAAACTAATTATGGTTTCCATCATATATGCATGCATTCACACCATGGCCATGCAATATATATATATATATATATATATATATATATATATATATATATATATATGATGGAAAGAACACATCTTTTACAAACGTAGTTGTCCTAAATATTATTTAATGAACTAGCTAGCAAGGACAAGACTAGCATACAATATTTAGTAATTAACATATATAATAACCACGTTTAATTTTTTGCAATTAACGTTTCATGCCTTCAGTACCCATCATTGGAGCCATAGTCGTCACTCCGCGAGTTTGTTTCTCCACATTCTTTTCCCATCCTAAACAATTAAGTCCAAGAAAAATCAGAATTTAATGTAAGTTGATTAATAAACTGTATAACTTACCAAAAAAAAAAAAACCAACTCTGTATATAGATATATATATATATATATATATATATATAGAAGTATCAAGTGGGGTTCTAGCTAACCAATGGACATCTCGAATCCGCGCTGTTGGAGCTCACGGTACTCTTGACACAGGGCGCATTTTTGGAAACACATGTGAATCAAACAATCCTCGCACTGGTTAGGCTCAATCGAGTAGTGTTTCTTCAACTTTGTACGGTAAGTGCTTGTGTAGAAGTTATGAAATGCCAAATGGTGGGTACCCCCCATCAGTGTACACATTGTTCCGCTTACGCAACAAGCTGCAACATACATACATATATATATATATATATATATATATATATATCAGCATAACACGTTTCCATATGAACAATACTTGCCTTCAAACTAGTGAAGAGGAGCTTCTTTTATAACATAACGTTGACAGAATAACGTACGTCTATTTTGAAATTAAAATGACATGTTTCATTTTTTGTTTCACATTAGTGATTTGAAGGTGTGAAGGGAAATATATATATATATATATATATCGGTCTTAGCTTCACTTCCCCATTTAAGTTAATATATAATGATACAACCAACCAATTAGTATACTTACAGGTTGAACCCCTAGATAAAATTTCTGCTATCCGTCCAAAAGTAATGCATGGACAGAAGAATGTTAGGCAACCTACATATAAAAGCAAAAATTAAATGAGAAAAAGAATATATATATAAAATTAAGCATACATGCTATCAATTTTGAACTATATATGCAACTACAATATATATTTTGGAAGCACAGAAGGATTAGGGTTTCGGCTGAGAAGAAAAAAAAAAAAAGGGTTGAACTTACAAACACGACAATCGGAGAAGCAGTCACAGAGGCCGGTGGACCAATTTGATGAATCCATGAGTGAGATGAGTTATGGTAATGTGCATGGACAATGAAAAAGGGATACAATTTATAGCAATAGATCGGGGGGACCAATGTAGCTGCTACATGATGTTTCTAGAAGTGATGTTCACACGTTTTTATTTCAAGGTAAGGTAAGATGTTCACACTCTTGCCCTTTTCTCAGTTTTGGCATGTTAAAAAGTGAAAAAAAAAAAAAAAAAAAAAAAGAAGAAGAAGACTTTTCTAAATTTTCTTTTGATTAAAAAAGATTTTGCAAATTAATAATTTAACATTTTAACTTTTGGAGGGCTAGTTTAAGGATTTCAAAGGGAAAATGCAATAAATATGTGATTTTTTTTTTTTTTCAAAAAAATGGAATTTTCGAGGATATTAGGAAGATAACTTTTGTTAGTGTTACATGGGAATGTATGGTGGAGAATGAAATAGGGCAAAAGATCAATGATAGTTGTAGGTGACCACAATAGAATAGTGCGTGATTACGTGAATTCCACTATCACCGTGTTCTATCTTATTCTTCTTGGGTCACCAGCCAAATGCTAAATTCTGGAGAATAATTATTAACTTGTTAAATGATTGTGCCGCCAAAGCCCGATAAAAAGCCACACTTCTACTTAATTCCAAGGTGGTTTGATCATGCTATTATTCATGTCTATTATCATTTTGAAGAATTATGGTTTAGCATCGCAGCGAACTGATGCAGATTGATCATTTTCTTCTTTCAAATTATTTTGGTTTGTTTTTTCGGGTTTCAAATTCAGTTGCCGGATAAGAATTCAGCCAATGTATTATCCTCTGAAGGACAAATCACAGACCTTAAACAAAAGCAAGCACAGAAAAATTTAGTCATGCTGCACTTGTTCTGGTCTCTAGTACGTTGGGAGTGATGTACAAACTTGCACTATATATAGGGTAAAGTGCAAAAAACCCCCTTCAACTATTGACCATTTTGCAAAAAACCCCGCTGATCTACTAATTTGGCATATAACCCCCCTGAACTAAAGAATTTGGTACAATTAACCCCGTCCGGTTGAATTTGACCGTAAAGATGCACAGATGGTGATCGATTTCTGTCAATCTTTTACACCCCTAGTGATGGCGCCAACAAAGCACAGAGACCAACCAATCAACACCAAGCACAGGCGGTAGCTTTCTCCTCTCTCTTTTTCGTCGACATCAATTTGGACTGATTTGATCTTTAGTGTTTCTCGCAACCCATTTACAGTCTCGTTGGCAACAGCCAAGCTCTCCACCAACTGAGCTCTCCTCCACAATCACCTTCAGAAACCCGAGCTCAGATCGGCGGTGAGCAAAGATGGTGTCACACATTGGTGTTCAAGGATCGGCGGCGATGAACGGCGATGTTCGAGGGTTAGTGGATCGATGACCTCCTGCTCCACCGACGAGCTGTTCTTAAATGATCCGCGCAAGGCAACAGAGGGTGTGCGTCAATTTGTATGGCAACAAGGATCAAATTTGTAGAGTGTCAAGACCCCAGCAAAACTCAACCAAACAAAAGACGGGCGCAAATTGAGGGTGTTACAGAGCCACCATGAGAGAGGGTGTTGGTTAGAGAGAGAAAGCGTGTGTTTGAGAGCGAGTGTGTATTGGCTGCCATGGTGTTTTTGTTGCTGATATTTTTACTGAAACGATGCAGTTTTATAAGGGGTAAAATTGTCTTTCACTATTTTCGTTTTCACGGATTGGCTGGAAATGTCACATTGGGGGTTAATTGCACCAAATTCAATAGTTCAAGGGGGCAAATTGTAGTTCAGGGGGGTTAATTGCACATGGCCAATAGTTGAAGGAGTTTTTTTTTGCACTTTACCCATATATATATATATATATATATGTTGGCTTTTGCTCTGATACTACTTTCTGACTTTGCTCTCATACTACTTTGTTGGAAATAGTGGGCTATACAAACAAATACAACTCTATATAATTTGAAAGAGAAATGGAGGAAGAAATATATTATTTCACTTATTCTATTATTTGACTACAGTACATGAATATATAGGCTCTAAGATATATGTAACCAATTACATTTCAATGCCCAATTACTCCCATTACTCCATGTAAGTGCAAAATTTCTCTCTATAAAAGAATTTAAAAGAAATAATACAACTCACTGAAAATAAAATTATAAATAACAAGAACTACTCAGAGAAAAACGTATATTGCTCAATGATCTTTATTGGAGGTCTAGGCCTCTATTTATATACAAAAATGTGGTGGAATTATAGTAGGACTCACCTTGCTTGTTCTCTAATTCATTCCATATATATCATTTTTTACAAATAGAGTTCTTTCCTTTTCATAATTCCTTCCATGCCAAACTTTCCTTTCATAGAGTTTTCCTTTTAGGATGAATCCTTTGATTAGTGGGATTTATTTATTCTCAAATAGTTTGGACCGGATACATCTTGGGCTAGCTGAGCTTGAATAATGGGCTGGATGACTAGTGCCATCGATCTTGGTCTAAAGGTGGACTCAATTTGGGCTTGACCCGGATTGGGCTTCCGCAACTTGGGCTCGACCCGGATTGGGCTCTCGCAGTATATCAAAGGATCGAAAATATAAATTCGTAATGTGATGACGTGGAAGACTCTCACTGGAGGGGGATTTTTCCTTCCACACTTTGCCCCCAATTCCCTCTTTAATTGGATTACGACTCTTAATTAAAAGGAAATTGAAGTTGTACGGTTGCCTATTTTGTAAGAGGCGGTTCAAGGAGTGTCCGTTGCCATTCTGTCCTAAGAGCTTCTTCAAGACCTGCTTTTGCTTTCGCTGTGCTTACTGCATTCTTTATTTCGTCATTAAACCAGGTTAGTTCTTCACCTATTTCTTTGATTTCATACCATGAGTACTTCACCCACTCACGATCATATAGAGACTATAGACTCTGAGTCCACACCTTCATCTTCCCCTATTCTCATTAGGGTTCCTCCCTTTAGGGTTTTTGATCCCCTTGCATCTGTGAACGATTCAGTCATTCGAATGGAGGATTCCCTACCACAAGCCGAAGTATCAACTTCTGGGTCAGATAGCGTTTTCACCAAAGAGGAGAGAAAGACGATTTTGTCTATTCGGCTTCTCAAGTTCACTATTGAGTTTGTAATGGAGGAATTTGAAATTCCTGAAGGGGTAGAAATTGTTGAATACCCCAAGAAGGCTGATTTCAGTTCCGGTGAGGGCGTCGGAGAGAACGAATTGCTTTCATCAGTTGGGCACCTTAATGCTCTTCGATTTCCTCTTCACCCCTTCTATCACTTAGTTTTCAATAAGTTAGGTCTTGCCCCTCTTCAAGTAAACCCTAACTTTTTTCGGATAGTCTCGGCACACTTTTGGTCCGTTGAAGGTTAGAGAGTCTTAACTTGACTTTTGCTGACCTATTGATTACTTACACCATCTCCAGGCATGGGACTGAGCCTGACCGTTTTTATTTTACTTCTTTTATTCAATAGAGGATATGTACAGACCTTCCTAATTTCGAGAAGAAATAGAAAGAGAGGATGATAATTGTTGAAAGGAACTGGGCTGTGTCTCAATTGAGCAAACTCCCAATCCCACGCAAATTTGGAAAGTTAGGTATAGAATGTTTTCCCTTCCTTTATGATAAGTGCTCTAGTTGCTTTCCATGTTGAGTCTTACTCGTTTGTCACACTTATGAATTTCTTGGTTTTTTTTTTTTTCCAGTGATGTTCCCCTCATCCGCAGCCAAAACAAAACTTGTTTTTTCTAGAAAAACAAGTCTGGAATGACCCCCTTTAGTTGAGGAGTTACTTTTTTCAACCAATCTCATGGAAATCGCCTTCAGTGCTGCAGCTGCTGACCTGATGGATTTGGCATTCCCCTCATTTGACAGCTTTTCGTTAACTAAGGAAGAGAAGAAAAGGGCTGAAGCCCTTAAAAAAAGAGCTGCAGAAAAGGAGCCTCTTGCTATTGTACGCTCTACTGAGCAGGAGAAAGAGGTTGAGGAAGCTTTTTTACACAAAAAAGCGAAACTGAACCCTTCTTCAACAGTAAAAACCAAGGGAGTTACTCCTTCAAAAAACAAGGGTAAGAAAACTGGAGAAGCTGACCCTGAGGAGGAGGTGAGGGCTTTTGTCCTGGCTGAGAAAGGTGAGCCTTGGAGGCTGACCTTTTCTAAGGCGGATAAATCAATCCTTTCACTTCGGGGATTCGGTTGTTACAGACCCTTCTGCAGTGCTGGCAGTTGCACGGGGAGTATGGCTGCCCAAAGATGAAGAAATTATGGGCAATATAGGGCTAGACCAGCTTCTTCCTTCTGCTCCAGTTCGTGCTGTGGAGGTTTATTCTTTTCCCTTCGTTGTTAGTTCCTTATCTTTCTTTCTACTCTACTTACACTGTTATTGTTATTGTTGATTGTGTAGAGCCTATACCATACTACGGCCCTATGCACCACTGTTGAGGCTCAGTCTTTTTTTATTAAGAAATTAGAAAAAGGACATTGCCAATGCTGAGAAGAAGGCTTTTAATGCAGCTCTGAATGTAAAGATAGCCTCTAAGGCAAGGGATGTTTACAAGAATTGCTTGGCAGCATCTGAAGCCAAAGGGGAGGCATTGGAGGCTGAGAACCAGCATTTGAAGGATGCAATTGGCACCTGCATCACTACTGGGAAACAGTCACAAGGACACTACTCCACCTTGGTACGCTTATCCAGTGTAAAGGCCTTCAGGTTCGGCTTCAACCAGGGTTCAGGTGACAAACTGAAGGACCCAGAGGCTTTTGATGCTGGCATGGAAGTGTCTTTCCCTTACGCTGAGGGTCCACAGGCCCAAGAAGCTGAGGTGTTAATCGTTGAGATGGTGAAGTCTCACCAAGAGGACCATTTAGCTCTAAGTTCTTCAGCTCATCCATCTTCAAACCTATTAACTCCTCCAGCCTCAAGTCTGAACGTGGTGGCATCAAGGGAACCATTCTTGCCCTTAACTTGTATGGAGTAGGTATATCAATATTTATTTTTTCTTGTATCATTTCGATGTGGGACAAATTTCCTAACACTATCGGGCCAAATA